AACGTTTAATTGCTTATATTTGTGTTATCATGCAAGCTAGATGCATTACGTCGAGCTGAAAAAAAAACCCACAAATTGAATCGACAACATTAGAAGTGACATTACTTAAAGGTGTTTGACTTTTATGAATTTTTCCTCTAGGAGTACTTTGGTGTTTGCTTTGCTATCTTTACATTAGATTGCGTCAGCTTTGGTTTCGGGTTGTGTTTAAAAATGCTAATAAAATGTTATGTTGCTTAGGCAACAATTGTGATAACATCTCAGAAAGGTATAACACTGAGCAGTTATCATCGTAGTGAACTGCATGTGGACAACGGCGACATATATCATGGAGGAAGGACTCATAAAATTCAAACACCTTTAAGAAATGTCACTTCAAATTTGGTCTGTTCAATTTTTGTTTTTTTCTAACCTTGCTATACAAACGAATATACAGTGCAGATTGAAAAAAAACACGTGTAGTGTATAAGTGCGCATGAATAAACAGTTATGAGCCTTACGTAGCCTCAAACATTTCCCAGAATACCACATCTATCATGAAATGTACGAATAGTAATTTTTTGGCCAATGCTATTACTGTTTATGTTCTTAGGTTTAGCTTTTGTCTTATTTCGGAGTAATAAGATTTTAATTGTGAAGAGCAGAACATGCGTACTACAGTTTGCGAAAACTTAGCCACAATCCCAAACTTATTATATTTAAAAATTCAGAGCTGGTCTAAATAACAAAATTGCAAATTTAAGGGGAATAATGTAAAGGACCATCAGTTCAATCAGGATGTTGAAGTGTAAATAGTTTTAGTAGTGTACGTAAATCCTTAGTTTGGATGTTTCTGTAGTTACGGATTGATACTAAATAGATCCAATTCCAAATTTCTTTGCAAGGATAGTATTTAAGCATCAACCCGCAAACGGATAGTCTTGGTTATTGTGCAATCAGTAACGATGGAGTAAGCATGATTTAGCAATCTTAATCCATGCACTATTAACGATGACCTCATGTCATGCAGTCTTTCCAATGCATCGACAATCCTCTGAAAATAACACCAACACAGGCGAATGAAGAAAGAAGAGCAACAACACAGGCAGAGCCTAATCGATTTATAAGGAATCAATAGTCAATGACCACATCATAGATCTTACCTGTAAACCGTGATGTGTGTCGCCCTGTCAGTGACTCGAGTATTGAGCAGCTCACTTTTCCTGTGTGCGGTACCAAATCATCAAAAGAAAGGAATTAGAACGCAAAATCCGAAATGCAACCCGCGTTTCCTTGCACGCACATACATACACATGGATCGCTCTAGCTCTGATAACAGTTGAACGTGTCGCGTTTTTGTCCCGCTGCTAGCATGAAACGTTCTTGCCGCTCCTCCGCTTTCTATTTTCTCCCCTCAACAAAAGATGACACGCACACGCTGTTGATAAAACTTGCGATCCACGTGCAGCGTTTATAATGGCATGTATTATACAACATTATGAGCCTCGTTGCTTTGGAGTGGCGATAATAAGCACCCGTTTATCAACGGACTTTGACGCTTTAAATCATGTCCAACGGAATCATCTTTTTCACAGTTCATTCTAATTTCATCAATGATGTTCGCTGTACTTTACAATATGGGATATTTAATTTTACCTGTATCAATGCCCAATATAGAGGACAATTGCAGCATCCAAAATATAGTATATAGATAGTTTATAAAACGTTGAAACGATTTTTGAAAAAAGTTTAAAGAAATAAGCATTTGAGCGGGTGAATAAAGTTTCGGCGTTCTTTTCTCTTGCTGCTCACCAGAATGATTCTTTCAAGTTAACACTTTTTTTCCCTTTCAACATTTTGAGACGTACATGCAAAATATGCATCATTTGCATTTTGACCGCCAAAACGTCCGGAAATAAACACAGAGGCAAAGACGGTTCTTCAGCACACAGCACAAATTTCTGACGCATTTGTTTTTAAATAAAAATTAAACTACAAAGATTATATTCTTTCAGATGATGCAAGTCGCCGGACAAAAGAAACGAAGCGAGGAAAGAAAATGAAATGAAGGACAAATTCTGCTTTGTAATTATTTGCCTGCTGATTCATTTGAAAAGTCCAATCATCAAGTGGTAATATCGTATACAATCTTCACTCCCACATGTAATTAGTGAGCCGGTGCCGTCAAGGAAGAAAAGGCTGAGGAGTAGCTTAGCAACCGGCTGCTACTTGAGTTGTTATCGCGGGATGCATGATGAAGAGGAAATGAGAGGGAGAGGAGAGAGAGGGAGAAGCCCATGGAGTATTATCACCCATGACTGAGGAGGATACGCCAGCCTGATCAAGAAAAAACGAAGAGGGGAAAAAGGGGAGAAGAAAGTACACTGAAATTGAGATTGATATAGCGTGTCATAAGACACTGAGAGTCTCTATACACGAGCAATGGATTAAAAGCAAGTAGCCATATCGTGATCAGCCAGTATTAGAAGAAACCATGTCTTTACGGGCGATTGTTTGCATTCTGGTGATCACGTATGTGTTGAAAAGACGATTTTGGTCTTTTTCATTTGGCGGAGACCAAACAATTCTCGGAAATAAGAGAACCATTGATATGCAGGCACGAACAATAGTAAGTTGCCACAATGTATGCCTACCCACGTTTACCCAGTCGCAGTTGCTATCATCCTCTACAACAATTACCAACAATATTTTATCGTTGTCTTCATGTGTGTATTCACATAACAAATACTCATTTTTTTTATTGAAATACGATGACAGATTTTTCAAGAAGTATAGATCATGAATTTACACCGTATAAATGTAACTGATTGATTGTTGATATTTATAACCACGGGTTTTTGTCGATTTATGGCTAACTAAATAATCCATAGAGTTTCATTATCCCGCAAACTCGGAAAGGTCAGGACTGTACAGTGGGCGGATTCAGTTGGCGGACCGACATTATTGTGCGCTGTTCCAAGAAAAACGAAGGTCGGAAATCGTTATTACAGCTCCTCCTCCATTCATTATTATATTATTAATAAACGATGAAAAGATGAGAGTGAAGAACTGTTAATTCTGTTCCTAAATTGTTTTCTCCAAAAGTTCAGTTTGTTGAAACTTGAAATAAAATATACGTGTACGCATCACAGACGCGACAAAAGTGCAAATAATCTTTGGTGGAAAAAGAGAGATGGCGATTAATTTGCATCGTTAGTGGTTGGTGACATTATGTGCATATCGCTGCCGACGGAATGATATCCGTTCGTGTGAATGCGCCAATGTTATCGTCATTTTGGTTCCACCTGAATTGCCGTTCAGTGCATTCCCTGCACCGAGAAGTCGTCTACTATTTTTCGTTTTGTTTGGATTTTTTTTCACATCAGGCCTAACTACATTCAACCTTTTCAGCGTACTATCTTTGTCGGTTTTGTCTCCCGCAAGAATTCATTAGCGGATGAAAGTGACTTCAAATGAGTTGTTGATGCCCATCCAACCTAGAGAAAAACAAGTCTTTGGAATAGCTTTGGCCAATCAATTCAATCCAAAACCTCCGTGGGCTCTTTTAAGAAATCTTTCAAAGAGTATCTTATTTCCCAATATGTAGCAGAGTTTGGTTGTTTTCCTTTGGTTTGTTCTCCAGTGTTGCCACCTCTCTTGCAGTTTTACGGGGGGGGGGGTGTTTCCCAGTCATTTCCTAATTTATTTCCGGTCAGGTCATTTTGTTATCTTGTTTATGTTTGTATTTGACTTAATTAATTAACTATTTAATGATTTCCTGTCTTTGTTTTCTCTTCTAAAGGCACTCCGCTACAAGCTTTGGCTTACTAGGATTGTGCCTCCACAATTTTGTATTTTGCTTTTTGTTGTGTTATTGTTCACTGGAAATAAATGAATTGAATATAATCGCGTTGAATTGAATTGAAATGAATTGAATTGAAATGAATTGAATTGAATTGAATTGAATTGAATTGAATTGAATTGAATTGAATTGAATTGAATTGAATTGAATTGAATTGAATTGAATTGAATTGAATTGAATTGAATTGAATTGAATTGAATTGAATTGAATTGAAATGAATTGAATTGAAATGAATTGAACAAGGCCCACCAGATATACTAGAATCGGAGGAAAAACTTATGATAAAAGATACAATGTGTGACACCCTTCTTTCTAACCTCGGTTTCATGGAAACATTGCACTTCACATTGCCATGAATTTGGTCAGATTTAAATGACTTCATTATCCGTGCTTGTCGATTTCAAAGGTTTGTCAGTCCTTAGCAAACTATAATAATCCACCCCACTGCAAATCCGAGTGACGTATACATACGATCGAGCAAAGATCATCTGCACCATAATTTGGAGAAATGTTGTAGTCAATAGCTTGTTGAATGGTATAACAATAGCATTTTAATCCGTGAAACAATGTCTTCCTTAATTTATCAGTTCCTTACAGGTTCATTAAGGAAAAGTCAAAGTAAATTTTGATTGAAATTCGAATGGAATGTCTTCTCTGTTTCCATCATCGACATAAAAAAGGCTCCCGGCTGAAGTCACCGATCTCTCTCATCCCTTATCATAGCCAGATCACATGATCCATCGTCGAGATTATAACCCAGGTAACCATTGTTGACATATAAATAGATGGACAGGTGCGTGCAATTTGAGATATCACAAAAGAAAATAAAACCACAAACCAAAAAGAATATATTTAATATCGTTATCGCAGGATGTGACTAACAATCAAAACCCCAAACAAACAAACTAACGAGCAAACAAACAACCCAACAAACAACCCAAACAAACTCCACCTGTTATTGGATATAAAAATAAACAGTACAACAAGCTCGCGAGCTATAGCGGTTAGCCAACACTTTGCATAGCGTTGGCGCACGAGCCCATTTTGATCCAGCTGGAGACTACGTGCATGACATCGGCACTTTGATTCATGGCGCAGTGCCAACTTAAACAAAAGACAGAGCCTCTTGAAATTGAAACTTCACATTAGTACAATCTGGGATCGCCCGCGCGCAGCCTCCGACTTTGGGGGAAATATGAATGGAAGATTCGGTTTTCATTATCAGCTAAAAGCGCATTAATCAGGTCTTTGTTGACACGACTGACAAGCGAGTCGCAAGAGTCAAAGCTTTCCGGAGATGGTGATAAGTCACATGCTGTTAGCTCAGACGCACTTTGGTAACAGCATCGAGGCTTCAGTCTCTCCGCCCATATTTGTGGAGGCGACGACCTCACGCGCGTGCGGTTGGTCCATCCTTGTTTATTATTTTCTTTATAAAACTGACGAGCATCAGTCGTGGTCCACACACACACACGCGGCTTCTCTCTGGCGGGAAAACCGTCTCCTGATTCGTCAAACTCGGTACGCCACCGTCACACTCCTTCACTCAGCTCGACAGTAGTGGGCCGGGTTGTTTAAATTGCAAAAAAAAAAAGACTGTCGTGATCCATCGTGTACTTGCGCAACGTGACGTGCTACATCCAGCTAGCCGTTGGGCACACCTATCTGTCACCATTTTTGCCGCGGGTTACACCCACCCCCACGTCCCATAATAATAAGTCAACTCCGGCTTTACTTTACTCCAGAAAGGGTTTTTTCCTCTCAGCATCGTGTGTCTGGCCTGCGATACAAGGAAGGGTTAGCATCATATCGTCGCTTCGTCTCATCATATGCAGAATTCTAACGATCCAAGGTAAGTAGGTTTCGGATGTGTGTTATACAGGCTTACGCCTTTACTGATCCTTTGCTGTATGGAATTGAATCAATGTGTACTGGATGCGGTGATTGATCATTTCTCACTTTTTTTTTTAATCAAGTATTAAAGTCGTCCGACATCTGTACTTCATGACAATTAATTTCATGTAACATTCTTGGAGTGATTATGCGATTAAACTGCGAGTCTGGTGAGTCGGTTGTCGTGTGTTAAGACCACGACGCTCGTCACTAGTCGTAGCTTGGTGAAAGTTGCTGTTGGCTAGGAAACAGTTCGGGGAAATATGTCTGGAACTACTTATCATTGATTGGATTAGTGAATTGCAATTTAATTTCAGATAAGTTCAAAATGAAAGTGGGCTGAATTTGGTTTTAAAAAAGAATTGCCGGGACCATGGCTATGACTAACTTGTTAATATTCTCATAAACCTTGCTTAAATGACAAGAATCAACCCTCTCAATTAATATTCACAAATATCGTGGTCATTCTTTAACATAATTGGTATTGTACTGATTTTTTTTCCAACTTTTTTTCGTGAAGTTGAACCAATTATGCCTCATGGGCAGTCTGCTGAGTCTCCGTAGGTACGCTGATTTAAACCCTAATATTCCCAAGTGACACTATACATTGTGCGAAAACTACCATGAATATATTTTTTTTAATTTTAAATGGCTCACGATAATGACCTAATACCTTAAAGTAATGCACGTGAGATTTACGTTATTATGATGGACAGCGAAGCTTAGCTGTGCTTAGTCAATCATGCTGAGCAGTGTTCAAATGCCATCAGGAGGATTTGGAAAGGTAGTCGGGAGATTTTATCTCCATTCATATACTGATGACGTAAAGTCAGACACAAATATGTATAATTGGTTAATACTTACCGGAGACTGGCAGTATCGTGATTGGTATGTTATCCGATCTCCCGACGATTACCAACACTCAACTTTGCTTTTGACTTCTTCAAACAGCGCCCAAACACAGCCCGCCGAAACATGCCCGATGAACAAGACCGTGCTTTTCTAGCGCTTTCCCATAATGAACTGCCCGGCTTGTTATAGATTGGCCGCGGTCTGCAACACGCTTACGTATTTACTTAATCATATTGCAAATATTGAGCTTTCCGCCACCATTCATACAAATTACCTCGTACAACAACGGGTGAGTCAATAACATCTCAACACTTAACGCGAGTCATGGTAGGTTTCCTTTTTAGTTTACCGCCGTTACAATAATGGATCACTATTGCCCTACTGTTGGGGCCAGGAAACTTGCAAATGCTACATGCACAACGGGTACACATTTTGTTTACCAAACCCTCCAGTTTCAACCACTAGAGGCAATCTAAAACTTTGTCCCTGTAAACGCGGCACTCCAATTTTCAGGCTACGCTTTTGTGATAAATTGATATCCTTCAGGATATGGTTAAAAGCTCCGTCCGAAACTCCTCGCACCATCGGGCGCTTCTAAAAACGAATCAGGAGAAAATTTCAAGAGCAGTCGAAGGCGAGTAATTTAGCAATCATAGCCCTAGGGGATGCATTACACAGTGTTCAAAATGTCTTTTGTGCGAACATTGACACACTTGAAATACTTCTTGGGCCACGAGGCGTGACGCGTTTTGCAGTTTCTTTGATACAACTTTGGCATGAATTGTTAAGCTTCAAACCAATTCGAACTCCATCCATCAATAAATAATGTATCGTAGATGAACATAACACAAATCAGGCCATGTAAAAAATATACTAAACCAGTTTCTGTGCCCGCTTCTTTTTTTCTCGGCGGCCTCCCCTTTTGTTATAATTCATATACATTTGCAATGTATTTTGCAAATATATTGCCAATGTATTGTCTTTTTTATTTGTTTCCAACAACATTTTAGCTTTGTAGAAAATGAGTGTGGCTCCTTTGGATACACTTTTGTATCAGTGAAATAGTCGAGAAAACTGAAGAATGTATCTGCCATCTTGTAAAATCCGCCATCTTAGGAACAAAGGAAAATAAGGCGCTCTTAAAAAAGAAACTACTTATTTTATTTTCTCGCCCTAAGCAATTAGTATATACCATAGGTAAGTCTTTGTTTCATTCGCTATCTCATTGTAATAGTTAAGTAAGGGAACATTTCAGGCTAGGACTATCATCCACCTATGTCAAAAAATGTTAGCGATTATGCATAGACTATTTTCCACATAACATATCCTATCCCTCGTGGGTAAATTTTACTAAGGCAACCCAGCGAGTTACCTCCATGCATTCAAGATTTCTACTCTAGTTGTACGGTGAGATACATGAATAATATAAACTCTCTTACAAGGGGAACATCCACATAAGCGATAACCAGTTGGATTCTGTGTTTGTTTCCAGTCTCAACGACAATATTATATGTAAGTTATCTCCACTGGGATCTCCAAACAGCCTGCTTTAAAACTTGCACTTGTTCAATATACACATTTTGTATTGATGCCTATAGTCCCTCTGCAGATATCAAATATGCAGTGACGGCGACTGTTAGCGCGGCCATTTATAAAGAGGCGATGATGAAGCTTTACGTGCCACAATACGAGCGGGATAAATCCTCATCAATTTGTAATGAGTGAATGACATTGACAGCAGAGCACGGGCAATATGAGTCAGAAGTCGAGTTAGCAGTTCTGGTACCCGTGTGGGTTCGCACTGCTGCTGGCAGACAGCTGTCAAGGAATCAAAAAACAGTGCTCCTGGCAAAGCGCAACATTAAAAAACCCCACCTGACTGGTATGGATACAATTCTCATGTGATTGCCAGTTTAGTAAGGCCAAAAAAAAATAAGTCGGTCTCTTGTCAGCGCGCGCGTCGATTTTAAGCATGCGCGTCGATCTTTTTTTTTTCCAAAATGTTCCGCGGTAGCTCCAACAGCGCCCTCTATTTCTGCACCTCCTCAAATTTTTTTACCAAAGAGCACCAAGGAATGGGAAACTGCACCAAGGCAAATGATCGAAAGCACCAAGGCAAATTATGGAGGCCACCAATGTACATGAGGACAACAAAAAAGCAAAATAGTACCCACCTTGTCTGTACAGTCCAAGCTGAAGAAAAAAAGAAAGCCGCGTGGCCGCGTCAATTCCGGAACTTTGGTCTGACCAGAGACCGAATATTTTTTTTTGGCCTAAACTGGAGGCACTAATGAAAGAAGGGGGAGGGAGGTGAAGCTAACAAAGCAAAACAAAATCGTACCACAAGGGGCGCCCTTTCATCGCGTGGTAAAAACAATCAAAGCATAAAGTAAAGTTACTTTTTATGGCGCCGTATTTTTTTTTAAATTGAAGATAAGGCTTTCTCATGCAGACTGCCTCACGCAAAAGATTAGTTTTCAAGATTACAGGTGACACTTCGCTCCTCTATCTGACACGACAAATTATTCCCGCTGATTCTCGGTAGACGCATATAAGCTCTGGTCTTTCTTTCTAACATAAACACTCAGCTAGTGCACTCACAAATTCAGAGTCATTTCAAGTACCGGTTATGTGTCCGCGGTCAAAAACAAATCGATCTTTTGGCAATAAATACTTTGTCAAAAGAAACAAAAATTGTGGTAGTAAGAAGTAAGTTTGTATTATTCCATTCAAAACACGTTGCCATGTTCATGAGCGTCGCGGTGGGACAAGGGGGACGCTGCCCCCCCCCCCCCCCACGAAAAAAATATATACAAAGAGGGGGGGGGGAAGAGGTGCGAAGCCATATTGCTGTTAATTTGATGGGGGCGGGGTAGGGCAAATGCTCCCCTGCTCACGCTCGGAAAAATGATAAATTGAGAATATAATGAAAAAGTTAAGGAATTTTGGGTACAATTTGCTTCTCCCCCCCGCCCCTCTGAAAAAAATCCTGGCGACGCCCATGGCCAAGTTGATAAGCCATTATCTGTTTTGGCATTTGGATTTTTTTCTCGAGTCGTAAAAAATGCTTCTAAGGCTCTTTTTTTAAATGTCATTACGTGTTTACCAATAAGTAGTTCATTGTCCTTTTAATAATAGAAAACAAGTTTTTTGGAGGTTGCAAAATAGCTGAATGCAAAATGACACTTTACCATGTTTTGTCGCTAGTTAGTTAGTTGGGCTTGCTTGAATACAGTTTTTATCAAAGCTCATTTTAGATTTGTTTGTAAATGAGAATTAGTCCTTCAAGTTTATTCCCAAAAAAAATTTGGGTCGCAAATGACATTTTAGTTGCTTATTTAAGTTTCAGTTTTCAACCAATGACCGCCACAAAATAATTTCATAAATTTTCATCTTTGTACGAGTGCTACGAGTCCCACTAGTATACAGTTCACATGGTTTATAGATTTTCGGAAGTGAGAGGTCAAAGTTTGACACAATATTTCTCTTTCATGCGATTTTTCAGTTTCCGTAAATTAAGATACTAGTAAAAAAAATTGACAAAGGCCTTTTCCGAGGGTAATTTTCTTAAGAAATCAATGTAACAAAAATACCTTTAAGAACTCCGACTTTTACACGCTAATTTTCCTATTCGAGGGATCCGGTAGCACGCCCCCTGGGGTCAACTTCCAGGCGCAATTACATCGATGTGAACTTGATTGATATCTCGCAGTCGGTATTACCCCATAAGTAAGACTACTGCTAAGAAGTCTAAGGAGTCGGTCTGACTTTTAAACGTCACCGTTTTTTTCCTGATCGTTTCCAAAGAGCATTTATATTTTTTTTTGAAATGTTGTATACTTTTTCCCCCTTTATATAATCTGTTTCCAATAGTTAAATAAGTACATAGGAAATCTTACTAAGTGGTCAAGCTCTAACTTTTCCACCTCTTCATTAGCATAAATTTATGAAATTTAAGGGCCAAACAGATCCCAGATTATTACACGTTTCATTTAAGGTAGAGGATTTTAATCGCATTAAAAATATATATATATATACTATGCTATAAATTAATTACAACCCGAACTGCAGAAGTCTATTGCAAGATTTATAGCTATCTTGGTTTTTCCTATTTTTCAAAGTGCTTCAAATAGACAAACATAGCAGGGACGCGTACATTCCCACAATCGTTGTGATAATATGGGCAATTTTGTTTTCTGAATGCTGGATTGAAGATCATTTGTTTTCCACCGGAGCTTTTTTTGATCCGTTCCAGTTCTCTATTTGCCAAAGTTATCTTTGCTGGTAGGCCCTTAAGGAACAAAAATGTCGATGAACAATTTCGACCTGACGAGGCTAATGGGCTTTTGATTGCATTGATAACGGCCTTGCTTTGCTAGAGTAGATGGAAAAGATTAGATTAATTTGAACAGAGGCAAAGTCTAGTTTACGCAATAGTAACAGTTATTGCATGTCTCGGTATAGGCCCTTAGTTATCATTTCTTATACCCCCACCTTCTATTTGAATGAAGAAAGAAAGAAACCAAACAAGCAAAAACAAGAAACACATTATCAAAAGAAAACACGCGTTTGGACCAAAGTAGTTTGACGGAAGGAAATGTCCAGCTATGGTAGCGGATCTGAGAAGGGAGGGGGTTACGGGGGTTGCACCCCCCGTTCAGCCGCCGACCACTGCTATGATACGAGTAACATGGGGCCAATCACGGACGTCGGGAGAGGGAAGAAGACAAATGGATAAACACCACTAAAACCCCGCGAAGCTAAAATCAGGTTCTGCAACCCATGGCAAAAGATTGTACATTCAGTCATGTCGGCACAAGCTGCCGCGCGAGGTCGCTTAATATACGCATGCTCGCAGGTAGTTACGAATCGAAGTGATTCTTAGCTTAATAGAGAAACGATGTGCAAGATTTTTGAACACGTATGCAAATGAGGAATAGTCTGGTGCCTGCATGGCGTGAGTTACGAAAGCACGAGTGTATTTAATTAAACTGTTACGATCTTATCGAAACAACATGCAGTATCACATTTCATATTAATATAATCAAATTGGAAAGGAAATGAGTATTTTCGAGAAGGCGTGGACGACTGATCGCAAAAACACGTACTGCACATTTTGTATAGCAACACCAAGTACACGATAAAAATCCATTTCTAGCCAATTGCGGTATCGAATCAGGATACAGGAAGAAAGTTTCCTATCCAGCTAGGGCTTACTATTGGAAACGCGGTTGGAAATAAAGTAAGCACTGGGGACGAGGTTGACATTACATGTATTTCTAAGGAGCAGTCTGGTTCCCAGACAGAAATATTCTGACTATTCGGACAAATCTTGGGCCCTCTAGGCACCACGGCACCCAAAAGTTCGGACATTTCCTGGTAAAAAAAGGCTTTTATTAACAATAAAACGATGATAAATACTTATCATCGTTCTATAACGTTGAGTTACAAAATTCATTGCTTGCTTTTAAAAAGTTAAATGCAAGTTGTATTGTCCTTATTGAGCCCTGATGTTGGTATTTGAATAAGGAATGTTTTTTTCTGTGTCATGTTCTATTTTTGAATGTGACCGTTACCTCAGCTACATACGATCTAAGTGACGTCAGAATCGTCTGATCAGGGAACCAGATTACATATAGGAGAAACCACACTCATGATTAGAAGTAAAAGATAAATTTATCATTTTGTTTAAACCAGAAGCGCAACAAAAATCAGAAGGATAATTCAAGCAATTCAATTTCTTTCCTCTTAAGTAATCTACGGAAGCGTATATGATCCACAAGCAATTAAAATAAATTATAAACTGTTAAATCGTAACGGCGAGGTACTATAACTCGATAATAAGTCGCCGCAGTGAGATATTGCTCGTCGCGGTAAGATGTTAGCTCACCGCGACGAGTTCTTGAAAAGTACTAATTTGGATTGCTAGTGCATGGCCTCTCCATGCTTCCGTAAATAATCATAGTAATAATAATAACCCTGGATTGGACATTTGGGAGACATCCCCATAGACTTCACTGTGCCCTAACCAAATATTCCCTTGTCGTTTTTCCACGAATTTCGGTATGTTCACTAATTAGACAACGAGCAACAAATATAATCGAATTGCGACACTAAAATGTTGCCTCTAAAGGGGGGCTGTGACATAGGGAGACATGAGAATGTTTATGATAACGTGTCTACTTAATGGTGCCATTACGCGTACCAATGTCACATTATTATTATTATTATTTTTTAGGTGATCACCAACATGGCGACTATACGGTTAACATTTGGGCAGTATCTAGCAGTACTTGGAATCCTAGTGGTAGTTGTCATGAACTCCAGACCGTGTGTTTCACAGTTGACCTGCGTGCCGCGCGAGTACCTCGTCTACGAGGCCCAGAAGTCAGGTTGCAGAGCTCAAACCATCACCACCATGGCATGCTACGGACGTTGCCATACCTCAGAGGTACTTACTTTCTTACGAATTGCGAAAGAGATAGCATTTTACCCCCAGTAACACACGCAGTTTGAAATTACTCACACGTATGCACAGGGACTACTGAATATTTCAATATAACGGATCTATGGTTGGTCTGATGGAGCTTACGGTTGTTGCCCTTATGTAGGTTCCTGACGGATTTTTAAAATGTATGTTGTTGGAACTAGCGACCCCCCCCCCCCCCAGATTGAGACACGAGTCACAAAGCCAAGCCGTCTGAGGCCAGTTCAGTATGTTAGTACAGATACCATAATGGGGTGGAGAAAATTTGGCGGGACTTTCTGGTCAGTGACTTGACTCTCAATGAAACGATTCCCACGGCTTTTTTTATGCCAGGCATTGTACAAAAATATGTGAATGGGGAGCAGGTTTAAACTTTCTTTTCTCAAGTTGCAACACAAATCACAAAGCCCACAGATAAAAATCGTTAGTACTGGCTTCACTGGGGTTAACACAAAGCACCGATAAGTACTCAAACGCCATCGTTTGTGTCTCATAAATCACCAAACGGCGACTGCTCTATGCTCAGACATCCCTATGTTTGGACAACCCGCACATATAAAGATTGTGTTATTCCCGGTTAGAGTTAGGGTTAGGCAGTTGGAACATAGTTGAGTCGGAACATAGGCGGAGTCCCAACATATTTGTGTTGGAACATAGGTGTGTTACCTTTCAAGCAATAGTTTCCTTGAATACTGTATCGCAGCACCGGGGAATCCTGTCTAATGGTTTGCCTTCGATATACAGGAATATCAATGTGGAAAAGATGACGCTTGAGAGAATGCAATGCTTTTAAACCTGTTCGTGTCCATACCGGTAACATGAATACTGCCATAACGCCTCTCTGAGGTGGTCAGAAATTGAAGAAATGGAGAATATTCAAGATTTCTGTTCTGTTTTATCCGAGTTCTCTGCGTATTGTTTCCAGCTGTAACACAAGAGTTATCCAGAGATGTATGGATGGTGTCAATCAGGCTTAGCTTTTCGATTATGACCTCGCAACTCGTGTGACTTTGACGTCATTTCGTAAAAGAAAACTTAAATTGACGCAAAGCTAATAAGAGGCTTAGATTTAAGTATTGCAAAAAGTCGTGTCTTAAAGATATGTCATTTTGTTGGGGCTGTCAGATATATCCTTAAGCTAATGTTGTTTTAACTTGTTGGAATACACGGACTTGCGTAGTTATGCCCATAAATGACGTGGTCCAATACGCATATACATTTTGTAAAAATATCAGAAATGTCAAGTGTTGCAACTTTTGGATCAGATATCAAAAAAGTAGCCTATAACTATATCACATCTCGAATCTTTATTTGATACATTGATGTTTTCGGGCGCGAGTGCTATTCGTGATTTACCAGTTCACTTTCTTTTTATTTAAACGGGAAATATCAACATTACGGATTTTTTTTAGTTTTGATTTCTTTTCTCAAATATTGCAGACTTCTTTATAAATTTGCCCCCCCCCTCCCCCAAAAAAGGAATGTCAACAAACTCTATCGTCTGGATTGCCATGCCACAAGCCATTTTGTGGCTGATAACCGCGATACCAGCTATTTTCACTTGTAAAACAGACACAACAACAACAGAAACATGTTTTCAATGCTTCGAGACTGTGTCGATTGTGTCATGCATGCCGTGAGCCTCTAGTCATGTTATAGACTATAATCCGTGGTAAAATTAACCGTCTGCTGTGGCGTCAGTCATAAGGTAAAAGATTATCGCATCCGATTATCTCACCAACCGTATAGTGCCCGTTAGCCCCCCCCCCCCTAAAAAACCCCTAAAAGTCAGATGTTGCCTTGATTATTGCATACACCATTGTGGCATGCTGAGATTGACGCTTCGACTGCACAGTTTTGCAGAAAGTGATTTGGAAGTCTAACTCTAGGGATGACTGAACAAATTTAAAAACAGTTGTTGTTGTTGTTGTTGTTCGTTAGACAAGCAGCTAAATTCAATTGAACGTGGTAATGTGAAGAACCAAATGTGATGAGTTTTGCAAGACTTAAAAAAAAACACAACCTTTGGTCGCTTGTGGGGCAGTTTTGAGCTTGATGACGTGAAAACGATAGTGTATAAGAATTGTCGCTAAGGTGTCCGTGGTACTATTATAATACGTCACAACTTGAGGTTCAGTTTTAGAAAAGGATTGATTGTGGCTTCAAGTCATGTTAAAAATAGTGCATTTTGTAAACTCTGATATCGACGTTCCAGTTGATCAAAACCACAATTAATATAACTTGGGTTAAAAATAACCTATTCATAAGATGGAATTAAATTAAAAATAATCCTTGTTCTTTTTATATCTGCCAACTTGATCTCGCTTCCCACAGCTTCTTATTTGTTTGATACAATAATTTGTCAAACTTTGTCTCAATTTTGGCAGATACCACAGCTGTTGCCACCTTACAAGGTATCTGACCACGACATGTGTTCCTACGACCAGACAGTGGAGAGACAGATCCAACTGAGCGACTGCGATCCTGGCGTGGATCCGACCTTCACTTATCTCGATGCTGTAACATGTGTCTGTAAAAGATGCCAGAGAGACACCACCCACTGCCACGGAATCTAATGACAAGTAACCCCCCCCCCCCCCCCGAAATGAGGAAAATCAAAAAATTACAAAAAAAATAACAATAAAAACAAAAACATGAAAAAGCTTAACGTTACGAGAAAAAAATCATAAAACTGGAATAACAGACTGGACCAGTAAAAGCTGGGATGGAAAAAGCTACTTTTCAAGCCCCAGCAAACCATGACCTAGGCCTATATCTATAAGGAATGAAAAACGCCGCCCGTCTTTTGGAACCCCCCCCCCCCCCATCCCTCACAAAACCGATAAACCTCAAACACAAACTGCACTCTGCTTTTGAGTACTATTCTCCAGGGAGGAATGCACCGTCAGCCCGCTGGATAAGGGAAGCATTAGCTTATCAATTTCTGCAAGTGAATCTCCCCAGCTCAATGATTTCTGTAGTCAGTCTGGCAAAGCTCGGTCGACAGACGGAGACAAGAACCCCCCCCCCCTAAAAAAACGAACTGCCCTCTAGATCTCTCTTTTCTCTTCTTTCTCGCTTACCGCCTCCCGCCTCGGCTGACTCGCTACGAAAACAAGTCTATCTTTGACCACATCGGATAGAGACTGTAACAAAAACAAGACACGTAAGCATGACGCAGGGGAAGAGAACGACAAGGAGTAAAAGAACACGATTCGTCTACGCGAACAAGGAGCCAATCACACGCGTACGCACCCGATGGAGACGTCGAGTCTCGAGGCTCAAGTTGCATATTTTTATTCTTGGGTCAGTCGTTTGCAACTACCGAGAAGCGTAATGCCTCGAGCGTGCTCACAAGTGGCTCCAGAGGAAAGCATGTTACATCAGAATGAGCTAGTAGTCGGCTCTGTTGTCTTGTTTAGTACCTACTCAGTAACTGTTGTTTTTAAAAAGACTTGTAACCCAAAACAGATAATCGAATGTTAACCATCACCCAGTCGTACGATAAATTCATGCCACATTCTTCAAGGCCGGCAATTAATTTTAAAAATCGTATTAAAATAGGGAATTAATACATTTTTCCGCGTTTTATTAAAAAGAGGCAACTCCGTCTCCATTAGAATGTTGGTCGGAAAAAAATCTTATTTAAAGGGATACATTTCTGTTTGCATCTTTTGTTTTAAATCAAACATTCGTTTTTTCAATAATTTGTAAAATTCACGTCACACCATGCAAGTATTGCTACAGTTCCAAACAAATTTATGGCGACTTTATACATCTTGGCAATTTTTGTCGTTGAAAGCTCTGTGTTACTCTCCTTACCTTTCGTCTTCAGGGGATTGCATTAGCCCTACCTACGTCACTGTGTTGCTGTTGGTCTTTCTTCAGCGCACGAACGTATACCACAAATTAGTCTAAAATGTGTCAGGAAATTTAATGGAATTGAAATCGACATGTTGACCTTCGGGCCCCAAAAAGGAAACTGAAAAACAGGGACAAGTGAAAACGGGGAAGAGGAAAATAACTCAATTTAGATAAAAAGCTTCAAAAGTGCTGCGGCATAATTCTACTCGCCGAAAATGACAAGACCGTGTCAACAAATTTACAAAGGGTTCGCTGGGAATCAAACTGACTATCCATGTTACTTTCCGTGGCGCGCCAGAACTCGGCCTGAAAAAACTACCATGTACATTTCAGCAACCACATGCTCATGTTATTCGCGAAGATATTTTTTGAGATAACGGCGAGGTTATTGTTGAATCTCTGTAGAATTATCAAACTAGAGAAACAAATCGACGATATCATGCACACTCACGTGTGCTAATAATGCCCTAGGTATTTAATTACTGTTATGTTATACAACAGGTTCACAGGGGTGTATATTATAGCGGGAAGAAGCTTCGTCAATGCCGGTGTCATGTTTCCCCTTAGAGGAGTATTCATTGGGCACACTTGTTTTACGCATGGCGCTAACAGTTTTCATTTCATCGCCCGTGTCATGTTTATTAGCTTTATTTAAGCAACGGTTATGACTTTCTAAATTTACATGGTCCTTTAGTCATCTCCAATGTTAACAATTGAGAAATATTATACAATTAAAGGGGGGAAAAGTCTTTAAAAAATTAGTTAATTTAATTTCATGAATTTTCATTTGATTTTATGTCTCATAAAAGTAAAAACCATTCCCAAACGAAGCGTATAATGAAAAGACTTAAAGAATGGGAAGCAGTCCCTACAAGAAAAAGAAAATAGTAAAACGAAAAAAAGGGGGAGCTTGACGATGAATAACTTGTGATCGAAGTGCTGATGAAAATGCGATAGTGTCACGTACTATTCTCATGAGAGTAATCCAAGGAAGACCGGCTGGGGTTCCGGCCATACCATCATTTTATGCAGTGTAAGAAGATGTAATGTTAATATTAAATGGAATCTTATTTATTTTTACGTGCCTTTGATGCCTTAAAAGGTATTCGCGTGGTGGTGGGACACTGGTGTGAAGTTGTCCTCTTTGTTTGATGAGGACATTTTTAACTTATCAATAACGTATTAAGACACGAAATGTGACAGTTATGTAGTTTACTTTGTGCGTCGTAATGGCTTGTGGTAGCTTGCGGCTCCACTTTGTGGAAGCTAATGGTGTTTTATCGGTAGATGTTTAAAAGAACGCACGCTAATGTGCAATGTTATTTTGTTTTTGTTCCAGGCCATTGTTTAACTTGTATCCTTTGAGCTAAAAGTAGTCATTAGTCAGTTATTGAAACAAGATGCATCATGCAAGATGCAAATTATTTTAAAATGCCGTCTTAAGGACCAGTTGACGTATATTCAGTTTTTGCGAAAACGAGTAAGTTCGATGTGAAAGTTCAAGATTTGACGATTTGAATAACAACATGAGAATAAACAATCCTCCGCGTGTATACATTATAATATGGGGGATTTTACCTCCAATGTTGGAAAAAACGTGTTGTTCTGATTAAGTATACACCATTACAAAAACTTTGGACCACACTATGTATCTTGTTTCTATATATTTTTGTGAGGTAAAGAATAAGGGTTAGCTGTACATTCATCTTCTTTAAGATACCGTCACCCATAGATTTTTATCTCCTCCGTGCATCCTGAAGGCAAATCTTGATATGCGCGTGCGCAGTCAATACCGACCTGGTTTATTGAAACATTAGTTGTGACATTGTCAAATAAACGTTTTCGAATCATGGTTTCTTTGGCAAAAAAAAAGAAGAGGTGTCAATTGTTTTTATTGTTGTTGAATTTTGTTTCTTTTGGAGTACACTTTATTTTGCGGCCGGGAGCACGATGTTTGTACTTAAAACGTGTAAAACAAAAAAAGTAGTTCTGTTAAACCATATAAGGAGTAAGGACCGGTTATTTTGGGTCTTCTCGGTGGGGTGGGGGAGGTTCCCCAATCACAATTTCCATATAAAATGGCCAATTTTCCTACAGTTAGCAGGAATATTGGGTGGTTGAGAATATATAATACGACTTGAATTCGTCGCGCTGTGTTAACCACAAGAGGGCGTTTTTCGATTTGTTTGCCCATTTTTGGTCAAAAAACAGTTCTTGGTTTTTGGTACAATTTCTCTAAATGTTCTTTCAAATGCCTTTGCAACCTGTGTACAAACTTGCTTAGATCAATATCCAAAACAACCTTTGGCATCTAAGGTCATCGGCAGAGGGCGCTATATTCTCTTTAGGGGAAACTATCATCATTACTGATGAAGCGTTCCTAAAATTTGAGATTTTTATAGGGGCACTAGGTCCTGAAATCCCCGAAAATGTCATGTTTTGGATTGTTAACTAAGCCTATTTCAAACATCTGGTTGAAAGGAAACCAACCTAATGTCTTACCGTTCTCGAGAAAAGACGGAAAAAACCCGGTTGTTTACATCAGACACGACGGAGTACTTTTAAATGTTCTTTCCGATTAACATCATCTCGTTCAAAGCGCGTTTTGTAGTAGCCCAATTGGGCTGTTCCAGGACCTAGTAGTGTCCCTTTAACCGAAATCGGTACCTAAGAAGTACTTGTGGTAATGTAATAATTGATTTTTTTTAGGCAGGAAATGTTTCCAAAAAAATAACCCCCAAAATGGTGGTCCAACCTCTTCCCCAGGTTGTCGAACAGTATACGCTTCCACCACTACCTGCTCTCTCACCCTGGCATAGCTGCCAACTGTTACGAATTTTTCGTAATTATTACGAATTGTTTGTTAAATTACGAAAATACGATTTGCCACTAAAACATTACGAATTTCCCATTTTCTACCTAACGAAAAAAAAAATACTTGTAAAGTATCGTTTTTGACCGAAAACTTTTGGCGAAATGTCGCAATAATGGATGGACTGGTGACAAGTCTAATAAGAATGCAGTCAAGCAGCTGATAGACATCAATGCAGTGTGCGCAGTGGAGTACTTGAGGACCAGACTAAAACTATTTTTCAATGGTGTGTCATTTGTGTGCATCTCGTGGATGTGTGGTTGTGTGTACTGTATGCAGTACTTTTCAGTGACGATCGTGAGCACATTTTGTCGCTTATTGCCGGGATGAGACCCATCAGTGTGAGATTTTAATCATGGAATTTAATAAGAGTATGGTTGGAATAATTGGTAATAGAGTTTGAGTTTGTCACAACATCCAGAAAAGATAAATCAGCATGCGTTTGCAAGGTATGTTGGCGGGATATTTCTATTGCATACGGTGGCCCTAAATCATTGTGTGTAAAAACATAGCTTGAGTGACTCCAGCTGACATGCTCATATTCATTCACATGTAGCGCTGGAGGAAGGCCTGTGCGTTTCCATGTGGCAGCAAGAGACCCTAAAAAAATGGTCTCTCCCAAAAATTGTTCATTTTCACCTCTAATATCCCACCCCAGAGTTCACCCACATACCTCATACATTCAGCAGTCATTTACGAAGCCTAATGATCGATTTGAAACAAGACCAACAAAAAAAAAGTGAAAAATCTTGACGATTTCGGTGGCTTGTCCGTAAAAATACGCCTGTTCCAACGGCTGTCTTCCATTTTGTTTTGCTAATTATATTAATGTATGCATCACGTGATGACATAAAAAAAATCGGC